AAAGGCGCAAAGCTACGCAGAGAAACCCTGTCTCGAAAAACAAAAAAACAAAACAACAACAACGAAAAGATCCTAAGTGGTATTGGGAATTTGAGGAGATATCAGATATGAAGCTCCAGCATGAAGCCTGTGGGGATGGACTGTACATTAGTGTTGCATGTATTTCATAGAGGCAATGACAGCTCACATGCTGCTTCTGCCCAGTGTTTATATAATGAGTTCTCTTTTTATTTATGAAAATAAAAGCAATTTTACTTACATTTTCACTGGATTTTTTTGTGGGTGTGTGTGTTTGTATACTTAGCTAGTAGTATATTTAGTATAGTATAAATTCTTTCTTACAGTAATAATTTTAAATGACATTTGTGTCAGTTCTGTGCTTGCTGAGTTAATTTCCTTGCCATATTTAGTTTATGCTTGTGGTTGTACTGGTACTTAACCACCTCTCAATGTGAAAAGTACAATTTTAATTGGCTCATCTAGCTCATATTACAAGTACAGCATAATATTTTGTGTGTTGTGGCTAGCTGGGCATGAGCACTTCCTAAGGAGCATCCAGGCTCCTCACTTCCAGAATTTCAAACAGTACTTACTGCACCATCTGCCCTGATGTAGAAAACATGGGGAAATGCCCCAGAGACAGGCATGCATCTGTACACAGGCACTCAGTTAACCCTGGAGATAAAGGTGACCTGTGACTACCAAGGAGTGGCAATAGCTGGTTCACACTGGGTTGCTCCTGTTTCACAGTCTCATGGCGGCTGCTGTGCACACTCAGCACCAGGTCCTTCTGTGCGGCTGTGCCTTCAACAAGGAATGAGACTGCTTGTATAAGTCCTGCTCTCGCCGTAGGTTAGACCACTAGACAGCATCTTGGAGAGGGAAGAGTGGAGTCTAGAGGAGGGACTGTTTAGTTCCTGTGTAAATTACCCAAAACTATTACCCAAAACTGGTTCTTTGCTCTGTTGTAGCCCAATCTATCTGTGAACTTCATGATAAGTGAAAACAAAATAGTAACAAATTGTAGGTGAAGTACTTTCCTTTTTCAAGTTGAAAACACGCAAGTGTTTTCTGGGTACAGAAATCAATTGAAATGATTATAGATGGTAACAAGAAAGATATTAAAATATTATAAAATATTTAAAAGTAGAAAAGACCGCCGGGCGGTGGTGGCGCACGCCTTTAATCCCAGCACTTGGGAGGCAGAGCCAGGCGGATCTCTGTGAGTTCGAGGCCAGCCTGG